GTGGAATTAGAACAAAACACTGACATACAGTTTACCAGAGAAGTCGAAGAAAATGGCAAACTTCCTTTTCTAGACTGCCTGGTAAGCCACAACGACAACTCATTACGGACGACAGTTTACAGGAAACCGACACACACCGACAGATTACTAGACGAGTCATCCTACAACCCTACATCACACAAAGCCACAACTATCAGAACTCTAACACGACGCGCACAACTAGTATGCGACTCGACAGACAGCTTATCCGACGAGAACAAATACCTTCACCGTGTTTTTACGAAGAACAACTACAACAACGACTTCATCCGACGAAACACTCACCGACCCACTACCACTACCGAAACAAACGACACCGCAACCCCTACGACTACAGCAACCATACCGTACATAAAAGGTATGTCTGAAAACATCTCGCGCATCTTACTACCCTTCAATATCCGCGTCGCCCACAAACCCATCACCACACTACGTCAGTTACTAACCAACGTTAAAGACAAAGACGAACCGAGGAACAGACAGGGAACGATTTATAAGATCAATTGTTCCGACTGCCAAGCCTCCTACATCGGTGAGACTGGCAGAAACCTCACAACAAGACTGACTGAACACAGACGGGCGACGAGGAAAGATGATGTCAGCAATCACATTACTGAACACCATCGACTTACCAACCACAACATTGACTGGGACTCTGCGCAATGCCTAACCTACGGCACTGACTATCTTCAAGGAGTGACTCTGGAAAGCTGGTTTACTAACTTAGAACAGTCTCCCTTAAAAAGATGTCAACAACTACCTGCTCCATACAAACGACTCATTCACGGCATAAATATCACAAACGACCGAAAAAGAACGACCTAACTTTGCCGGCAGATCAAAACAAACCAATCACCACCGACTTACGTCACTTGAGTCTTACAGCCAGTAACATCACGGCAAAACCAACCGATCATTTCACACGAACTGGAATGAGAACATTCTCCTGACAACAATCATTCACTTGACTCTGATGATGACTTCTGCTCAGGCTGTGGAAACGTCAGTCACTACCACCGACAACAGTCCTTCTCAGGACTACACTCACCCGGACGATCAGACTACACCTTCACAGTTTAGACTATATAGGTATTTTATAGGTATTGATGACTTTAAAATCTTAGCGACGCCTAATAATAATAATAATAATAATAATAATAATAATGATAATAATAATAATAATAATATACCGATTATTTGCCACATTGCAGAATTAACTGAATTAAAGGACTAAATTTACTAAATTTTAAGGCATTCTCTCTTCCCATTTGGATAGTTTTAGTGGAGAATTTCAACATTTTTGTTCGCCGAAGTTTGAGGTTTTACTGAGGTGCAGCACAGTTAAAAGGTAAAGTAAAATTGAATTATAAAGCCTTAAACTGTAAAAAATATTGCATAAATACCTGAATATGGATGGATCATAAACGTGAATGTCCATCGGTTTCTGGAGATCAGTAACCACCTTTTCTTGTTTCCCACTGGTTAGATTGTAACTTAAAATACTTTTGTTAATCCGATCGGTCCAGAAGAGCACATTTTTGTACAAGGCTAAGCGAAAAGGATGTATTTTATTTGATGACAATATAACCTTTTTGCTTCCTCCATCAAGGTTGGACATCTCTATGGTGCCTTTAGCATCAGCCCAATACAGATGCTTTTTAGCATGGTCGATGGTAAGTCCACTTGGCTGGAATAAGTCTTTTGTAACAATGGACATCCTACCAGAGCCATCCGTCTTGGCTAGCTTTCTCAATTTTTGGCTCGTTGCCGTGATCCGTCCAGAATATCAAACTTAGAGCGAGGAACGAAAAGAAATCTAGGTCATTTAAAGCATTTTAAGTGCATTATGCACACATGTTACAAAACTAAGCCAACTGTAATCAGAAGCGACGATCAGATTACTGCCTGAAGGAAGCATCGACAGGAGGCAAGTGTTTCCTGAACTACGAAGAAAGCATACTGAATGAAAAACCCTCATTATTTGCGCCGCCCGAATGAAAAAAATGTTCTGAATAAGAGTTTGTGCAATTATATAGTATAAAAACGCATCTTCGTGTGCCCTTTTCAGTGTGCCCTAAGAAATACACCTGGAAATTCTATTGTTAGCAAATATGTAGTCTTTATTTTTGCATCAATAGTTACCCATTTTTCTCATCGAGCACGATGGCTCCTGGTTCATTAAGTCCATCTTTGAATAAGACCTTCCTTTTCGTTCCATCAAGACGACCTATTTCGATTCTGTCTGTCCCGGCATCGGTCCAATAAACGTTTCGTCCCACGTGGTCAATAGCTAAGCCAACAGGACGAAGAACGTTACAAAAGTACAGAATCTTCGCTGAAGATCCGTTTCTGAAGGCGCTCATGATGCGCCCTCGGCTTTCGTCAGTCCAATACACGCGATCTTGAACACGGTCAAAGTCCAAAGCAACAAGAAAATCAGAATCAGGGTCCTTGAACAAGGTTCTAGACACCGAATAGTTGGCACCCAGGAAGATGATGTTTGCCGAGTTGGCTTCGGCATCCGTGAAAAGAATCAACTTATTTACTTCTGGAAATAAAATAACACATACTGATAAGAATGTTGCCGGAAATGTGATCCAAAAAATAACTCAAGGGCAAAAGACTTACTGTCTTCACACGTCTTTCCATCTTTTTCCTCTGGTAAGCCTGTTAGACACTGGCACTCATGTCTGGAGTTTTGTGGGACACAATGTTGGCTACAGCCTCCATTGTTTAAAGAACATGGACTTGAAGCTAACAAGGACAACGAAGGTTTTAAGAAAAGATAAGATTAAAAAATATCCAAAGGAATACCTGAAGAAAGTAAACATATAAAAAGATATGATACATCTTAAATACAAGGGGCATATAATTTTTCTTTAATCTTGTCAATTTAGGATGTGTATGAAATGGACATCTTTTAATCAAGTTCTAAACACTTTTAAATAGGAATTATTGTACATGAACAGTTTCCGCCAAATTAATTACATAATCAAATCACTGGGGGATAAAGCGAAAAGCTTGAAACCATCCTGGTCAAAGAATTTTATAAAGGATGACGTCTTAACATTTACTTAACGCCATTATTACGTCAAAAGTGAATACACTTTGGTAAATATATACAATTGATTAAAATAACAGTGTTGTGGAAAAATAACCACACACAGCGTTACATAAAGATAACTGGACAATTGTTGCCGAGGAGTGGAGAAAACATCAGGCAAATAACCTAAATTCAGACCATGGTAAACTTTCTCCTGCCCTCCGTTCCGTTGTAGATATTTAGGGATCGTAAAGAAATCATAAACAATTGAGAAAGGCATCCGTCAACCTTCATGGTTACTATACTTTCCCATGGCCTCATTAAATATAATATCGAGCTTGTCGATGCGAAACTAGAGTCTTACAAGTATCGGGACCCAAACGATCCATTAGGATCACCGATCACTTCACGTGCACCTCCGCCAATGTAATCTATTGCATAACTTGCACTCATTGCAAAAAGATATACATCGGCGAAACAGGCAGAAGACTAGGTGACCGATTCCGAGAACACCTTCGCGACGTGGAAAACAATGACAGGGACACATCGAAACCAGTCGCTAGACATTTTACTTTACCCAATCATTCTAAGCAACATATGGCAATCTGCGGTCTTTCCTTACACTTAGGTAGCACGGAAAGCCGTAAAACTCTTGAACAAAAGCTCATCTTTCAAACTGGCAGTCTAAATCCCACAGGGATCAACGAACGCTTTTCATTCCACTAATTTATTCGTGTTTTTCTCGTTGCCATGTTCCCACCAATAACGTAGCTCCATTTTCTGCCTTTAAAAGCACACACAACCCACAATTAATCTATTCGCTCCGACGAAGGGCTAACGCTGGAAACGTCAGCTTTTGTAATCGTTACGGTGGCCAATTTACCATTTCAACTTTGTTGATATATCCAAATTATTTCGTTACCCCCACCGACTCAGCCCCAAACAGTTTCTCTAGAAACTATCAGCCTTCGTACAAGTATCATCGGCTTGGGCGCAAATGAAGTGGTTAGGCCTGAAGAACGTTAATTCAATTCCCACTCTTTTCAGAGATAACTGGTTAGTCATAGAAAGCCGCCAAAATCAAAGTCGAAAACCTGATGCTGCATTTTACGATATGAGCTCTCTGACAGTAATCAAATTTTTTCAGTTCTCACATTTTGAATAAATTCATCAAAGGTTTGTATTCATTCTACTTCTTTTGAAATTCTGTGCTGTCGGCTTTAGAACGAGGGTCAAAGACATTTTTTGGGGGTTTACCAACAATTCATCTAAAATATCTATCACTTTCGAATAGCAGTTTTACATAACAATGAAGGAGAACGGGTGTGGAGATGATTGAAATAGCAGCAGTAAGTACAAAATAACATGCAGCATCATTTTTTTTCTATTCACCTTCACACAAGTTTGTCCTTTGCTTGTAAATCCACAATGCAGACAGCGGCAAAATCCACCAAGGGATCTTCATGCTGTATGGTCGATCGGAAAATGGTTTCCTGATAAAATAATAGAATAACAGTTGACGAGCAGTGAAGTGTAAAACGTTCAGCCTGGTACAATCCATAAATCTAGCTAAAAATCAAAGTGTAGCTAAAGGCTTATAGGACTTATTGGAGAATGGTTAATTAAAAGGAATCGATCTCTTGGATTTTACTACTGTTAGGATTTTTGCCTTTCAGATCTTAACAACGAAGGATACACGCACTCATGCCCTGCATAATTGTTTCTTTCAAAATGTCGATTTAAAATAGTCAGTAATGAAAATCTCGTGAACTTCGGCTTACCTTTCAAAACCAGCTTGCGTGCGCAACTGATTATGAAACTACCACGCGAACGACGCGGATTCCGATAAAAACAGAAGACACATGCAATGCTTAGGTTGGAACAAAGATTGAGCAAGCCAAAACATGAAAGATTGTGTTCTTCATATCCAAAAAGGCACATTATGTAAGGGACTTTCCCGTTTTGTAGTTTGAATCGATAAACATTTGGTCAATGCTATTTTTAAACGAGTGTTAAACGAATGTTGTTTTCTTGTCTAACAAATACAATTTCAAAGACAAGGACAATTTTTTTATTGAAATATCGAGCAGGCTCTTTTGTTCTCAACAATGCGAGTGACGAATTCTAGAAAGCAGAGCATTTTTCAAAACATTCACAATCCAGAGATAACTTTTCTTGCAGTCGGTCCCCATTTTTCCGCGCTGGCAGAAACTAATATACATTCTAAGTAGTCAGTTCTGTAGTCAGAACTGTTATATGTTACTTAAGGGATTTAAGCTTATTTATCATTAGCGAACTGTTTGTCATCAATAATCAACCCCTTTGTGAATCAATAAGGCTTCATGCATAATATGTCAGATTTATCTGCTCCAGGTGATAATAAGGTGTCAGTCACAGCTAGTGATGCATTACTGATACTGGAAACGTTTCTTTCTGCATTTTTAATTACATTTCTAACATCATAAGAACTGTATGGCAGGCAAGAAGGAGAACTATCAGTGAGATCTGGGCGTGAAATGGTTAGTATACTGGAGTTCTTTTATTATTCCACTAATTTGTTATTTAAGCGATAGCCTTCATTTGGCGCGAAAAATATTTTAGATTCTAATTCCTTGAAAAAGGAATTGATCCCTTTGCTGAGTGAGATCGATTTACAATAGCAGCCTTGTCGGATATCTGCACAGATGCAAGATGAACAAAAGATCTAAAACGATGTGAATGGCTAAGGCCTCGGATAAACTTTGGTAATCAACTAAGTTGGATAAACTTGCCGAGTTAAGGATAATTACAAGCAAATTTGAATGATTGGATAAAATGAATGATATATCCGATAGGGCTGTACATGTGGACTCTGGATTCTATTTGCAACCGGCATAATACGTTCTAAAGGCACACATCGTTTTGCAGAGTTTTGGCGCGTCAGAAATACTATTAAGTTTCTGAAATTCTCTCACTTACTTAATTACACCCTCGATAGCGTGATGGAAACTGGCCTTATAAAAGCCAATAACCACAAAAATAGCAACCCTTGTAAAAAAAAAAAAGAAGTAAATGAATAAAACATGCAAATAAACAAACAAACAAAAAATACGTGAAAGCAAAAATTAAAGACGAAATCAAAACACAACGAGAAGAAATGGCGGCCCAAGGCCTGGTATAAAGGAGACTAATAAGAGGAATTCTGTACCTGCCGGAGTTTGCACAAAGTACGCTACCATCCTTTTAAGCCCCAGAATGTGAAAGTATTTGTTTATGCTGCTCAAACTCGTTTTACTTATATCTCAGATAAGCAAGAACATATTTGATTTGCAGAAACTTGTCCAATTCATGATAAAGGTCAAAGCCGGTTGGCTATTGTTAGTTATAAGTGGCAAATAAACTTTTCCATAAGACATTCGAGATAAACTTGCAACAAATCGATCCGTGGCGATTCCGGCTGTTATCATTGGGAGATTTTAATGAGATGGGGACAACAGCTCAAATTTTTCTGCACTGAATAAACTGATATCGAAAAGCCACGGTCATAGGACAAAAAAACATAATGCTATTGGTGCATTCTGGGATGGAACCGGAGGCCTTACGCGTGATTGATTTTTTTTGGCAGAAAGTTTAATCAGCGCAGAATTCTGAGAAAATTTGACGGGTTCTTATTCTTATTCCTCAATAGAGCAATAACGAAAAACCGTATAAATGAGTCTGGATCGAAAAAGAAGCAATAGTGCGCGCAAAATAAATTCGGATCTATAGCGTATTTACCAGTTTACCACAATAAACCCGCTGCAAGAGTTAATGTTCAGTTGCGAATATCGATATCAAGTTTACTCGCAAATAGGCATGGAATAATAGGTGCTAAGAGAAAGTAGTGATAAACAAAAATACTACAGTTTCAAAAATTAGGGTTCGAAAGTGCATGGTAATTGTGACGCAGATTACGCAACAAATAACGGAACAGATTATTTATGGCCGAAGGGGGGTGGGGGGAGGGGGGAAGGTGACGGAGTGAGGGTTCACATGGTTTTGAGGCGAAAGGGAGGGGGATCATCGTAGTCAACAGAGTGTAAGGGGGAGACTGTAGCAAAGTGATTACCAACGAACTGCCAATGTAGGGGTTGGGAGAGGGGGGGGGGGGTCATAACAATATTAAAGGGCCTGAATGAGGATCAGGCAAATGCTATCCCGACAACCACAATCTTCTAGAGTCCCATTCCCTGTGGTAAATAACGATATGTCTCATTATCGCGTGATTAGCCATGCAAACCGACCTATAAATAGGATATGAAGTACTCCTTTAGAGTGTTCGAGCGTGCTGTGCATGTTTTCATGCGGAACTCGTACAACGCGGCTGCTCTTCTCGCACGGTGAGCTGTAAAAAGAGTTGTGTTGTAAACCGTAAGTTACCACTACATTCTGTGACGCTGCGTTTTGTATGGTGAAGCCAATGTTTCTTCATTTGTCTCGCAAAGTCTCTCAAATTTCCAATTTTTGGGTGAGACCAATTTAGAACGTATTTCTGAGAATAGCAACAATCGAAGAATCGATGGACAATCCTTAAAAATCGAGTCGACTTCGACTTGCATACAAGACAAGTATCCTATGAGAATCCGTTTTCGAAGTGACACTCTAAGTGTCAGCCTCTCGTTAAGTAAATGGTCCGTCACCGAGCTCCTGTTTGTCGGTTCCGCCAAACAAAGAGAATTTGAAAGTCAATTCTTTAATTTCATTTGGAGATGATATATCAATTAAAAAATGAAATACCTCTGTAAACTTAAATCAACAAGATGAAAAACGCCCAAATCCACACTGATCTGCCCATGCTATAACCGCTTCGAGATCAATACCTGATGTAACAAAAGTGACAGTTAACTTACATCACTTTATTGCAGTAAAGCAACGTTATAAGGCCGACAGCGCTAGCATATCTGCAATTAATTTACTCACCAAAACTGAACTCGTTGTTTATGGATCCTAGAGGTCCCCGTAAATTTCAATATCCTGGTTAGTGTAACAACAAAGTATACCAGTTGCCCACTCATATGACAAATTATTTCAAAATATTGGGGAAAAGGCGAACAGAAACACCAAGTCGGTCAAAAAGCGGAAAAACACGGCACAGAGGCTGAAGGTATCTGCAATGCTTATAATGATTTTTTTCCAATTATAACATGCAATATGGAACAATCTCTCTTACACACTGAGACATCCCCATTGGCTGTTTTGACCAGTGTGTGAGAGCTTTTGAGGTGTTTTGTCCTTGCATATTCCAAATTATCATATGAACGTCCGCCCCACTCAAGCACTTCCAAAGAAAATCATAGTGAAAGGTGACGTGATGGGGCCAGATGGGGTCTCTTGATGAGCCGGTCCGGAAGAAGCCGTTGGGTCCTGGAACACGTAGAGTGTTTTTTGTGGTTTTCCATCGCGTTGAATTCTATCGCATCCTATCTAAGTTAAAGAAGACTTTTCGAATTTTTCGCAGCATAGACAGTGGTCATATGATAAAACGCTTAAGTATTGACTGAGAAAGCTCTTTCATTCGATTGTAACGTATGTCTTCCTCCTCCGTTTGGCTCGTGCGTCATGACCACGAGACAGATATTTTCCCATTCAGCTCTCCCACATAGTCAATAAGTGCATAATATGCTGACCTCATCATGTTAAAACTTAACCAAGTAAACGGTTAATTTTTTTTCCATTTGGACGGTTTACGGTAACATTTTGAGGGCCTTTGACGGTTTACGATTAGATTTCAGGGCTTTTGACAGATGAGGTCTATTAGGAAGATGTATTTCTGGTAGTTCAAATCAATATTATGATTTTTTGTTTTTAACGTGAGTAATAAATGTTACGTTGGTATCTCGCACACATTTAGGATCAGTCTCTTTCGTTCGAGTATTACGTTGGTACTGCTCTCGCGCAATGTTAGGATTCTCCTTCATCCGATTGTTACGTTAGCCTCTCGCACACTTTTGAATTT